TGACAACTATTGTTCCTACTGCCAAGATACTGTACAGTCTATAAATTAATACAGAAAAAGAGACTCCATTATGGAAAATTATTCCAGATTGTGCTGTATAAAATTAGCATCTTCAAAAAGATCCTGGTCTATAAAAATTCATTTAGGTAATCAGTTACTTTGTAAAATATAGACTATTTTCTCTTCATCCAAATTTGAAAAAGAATATCTGCATTCTACCTAGGCTTTTCCAAATGATTATTATTAGGTAATAAAATATCCCTATCCCAAGCGATATGTCATTTTGTCAAGAAAGATAATTAATTATGAATGAGGAAAGCGGCAATATTATTAACCTAAAGGACTATATGCATAAGTTGGGATTGTGTTGTTAGGCCCTTACTTTGTATGACATCTTTCACAACACTGTATCCCAGAGTTAGATAATGCATAATTGAATGAGGTATAAATAGATCGGCATATTAGGATATGCCAGCCACAAAGTAATAATGAACACATACTAATCTCCTATTTACACTACTCTTTTGTCTCAAAAAGAACAATTTTGACATAAAAGGCTGCAGTTGCTCTACCACACCTAAGTAGACTGCAGCATATTTTCTTTTGAGCCATGTCACATAAGGTATCATAGACCCTAGCCATACAATTTGTTTTTAAGCAGAACTCCCCACTGAAGTGGATAGAATGATCTAACCTTACATTAGTAGGTTTTAAAATTATTGTATAGGTAAAGGCCTGTTACCCCAAGGTGTCAGCTCCCACTGATTCTTTTAGCCAACTGGACAACACAAGGCAAAATCCTTGAAATATGCTGTTGACCACAAAAGTAGAAGTACATTCACCCACCAATGCAGCACTACTGAGCATATATATTCAGCTCACCAGTAGTTTTACAAATAACACTACTATCTATGCAGATTATTCTTCTCCTACTCCCAACAGGCATTGTGGTGCCTGCTGCTCAGGCCAATTCTTTTGGTATGGAGGGCCAGATCCAATCTCCAATGAGAGTCTTACCACTTGTCTTTGATGAAGCTTGGACGAGTTCTGGATTTTGATGTCTAATTAACGTACCGATATTTGGAAATATGGATTTCTGAAAGAAAAATTAAGAAATTAAAAATAACACTTATTAAAGGTTATAAAATTTAAAACAATTCATCAAAAAGGTGTATTTGAATGTTGTTTTAGTTACCTCTACCCTTCCAGTATCTCCTGAGCTGCTGCTATAGAATCAAGATGACATATTTTATCCATTCTAGTGGCATACTGCTGAAAGCAAGGTTAGACCATGTGACATCTTACTAGATGTGGCCAATCAATTTGACACATTCAAAGACTCATGACCATGGCTTTTAGAAAACAGTTGTTAGAAATAGCCAGGCATTCGTAGGGAGATATCCCATATCAATTTTAGTATGAAACCTCTATCTGCACTGAGATGTCTTAGAGCGGATTGTGCACACATGCATGCACGTGTATGTACAGGAAACCCTCACCATTCACAGTCAATTCGTTTCCACATCCATGAATGGCGAAATTCATGAATATTGGGAGCCATGCCTCCAGGCCCCCACACTGAGTTCTTTACGACTCCTGAACTCATCATGGAGGCTGAGCATCTGTGTGGAACTCACGGCAGCTTCCAGGAAACTCACTAGGAAACACCACAGCTCCTGGCAGCTGTGGTGAGATCCCCACAGATGCCCAGCCTCCAATACGTGGAACTGCTAATAGTGATTCTGCAAATCGCAAGAGTCTCACGTATAGTCACTTGAACCTCTTTACTCTGGCCACCATAGGAAACAGAGCATGCTGGATTAATGATGGATTAATGATTTTACCAGGCCAGGGAGGTTGCAGTGGGATCTGGATGTGAGGAAAATGGAGTGAGGCGATTACCAGGCACACATGACTCCATGCCCTGCACTGCTCCCAGCACCACTTTCTGCTGTTATGGGAGTAGTGGGAAAATGCTGCAGGGGAAGCACATTGCTGTGATGCTGTGTGAAATTATCAGGCTGATTATTAAGCCTAGTACCACCTGTTTTTATGGAATTTTGTGGAACATGGAAGAGCACATTATCGATTTCCCTTAAAGCTTTACAATATATCATGAATGAGACGTACAACACAACAAAACTGCGAGGAGAAGGGTGTAGAAAGCTTAATGGTATGGAAATAAACATAGGAGCGGGTTAGGGATAAAGTTAATGGTAAGGGGATGAAGCCTAAGACAATCTAAAGAGTGGACTGGATTCTCTACTCCATTAAGGCCCCTTTCTGCTGAGCAAACAGCACAAAATAACACAAGTGCAGGGGAACTCTACTGGCAGAAAACTCTGCCAGCATAAAAGGATGGAGCGGATTCAGCAGAGGTCTTCGAGAGGCAGAATAAAGGTGTGGTAAACAGAGTTCCACTGTAACTCCACAGACCTTAAGCCAGTGGCAGAAGCTGGTGTTAGCTCTCTCCTGCTGGGGATGAGCAACCAAGGTTCAGAAAACTTCAACAACTTCTCTAGGGCTGCTCCTCTCTACTATATCCAAGCACAGATTGGCTATAATGGAGAACTGAGAACAGACTCTTTCTACTCTACTGCAAACTAGGACTAGTGCTCTTCAGAGAGGTTACCATCATTTTTGCTGTTATATTTGCAAAGAATGTGAGCTAAATAGCAAACTAAAAACGGGCAAAATCATCTGAAGTTAACCCATAGCTCAGCTATTTACATTAAGAGAAAACTATGTTGGTACAGAACAACAATATACATAAAGGCATTTCTTTGCAGTTAATCAAGTGAATTGTAACTGTAAGAGAGTATCCTAGCAACTTCCAAACAGCCAGGGAAAGTCCCAGCTGACAATGTACACTGATGTAATTATTCTCCTTGTGCAGTCATCAAAACTTTGCAGTTAATCAAGGTGATAATTTGAAACGCGAGAGTGAATTAAATTTGAAACAAAGAAAGAGAATTTTATAAATGTATAACCTCACCAAGATACCTCTTGTGATCAGAGCCATCAGCTCAGGATAGGGACAGGTCAGAACAGCACAAAAGCAAAGATCAAATAGTTCTGGCCACAAAACCTCCCATTATAAAAATAGACAGAATTGTACGGACTGTGAGGAACTCTGTGGTTTCATTATTGCCAGTTCTCCACTTTGGAAATTTATTGCAGAATATAAGAGAGTAATTTGTAAAATTATTTTAAAATACAAGATCACCCAAGCCACATTCAAACACAGGTAGCACCAATGACCTATCTGAAAGTACAGTAAAATCATTTACACATTGTGTTTATCTCCGCATTTTTTTGCTTATGTAAACAAAGAAGGGCTGGGAATAGCCTAAAACTTTACATTGATGTAATGCTTTGTATCACAAAATATATCAAAATGCCTCAAAAATTTAAAATGATAGGCAAACACTTCACCACCAATGAAATGCAGCCATCTCTAAAGTGACATCCACTTTCTGCTTAGAAGAGCACAATGCAATTTTGTAGTAGATGAGCCATGAAGGGAAAAAATGAGAACGAGAATCACTGGTATACAATATTATGGTCCATAAAGCCCTTTTATAGATCCTGCAGAGCCTTTTCTGTTACAGAGATAGATCATCTGACAGTCTGCAAACAAAGACACCTCTTGCTTGGTGGCAGCCAGGGCACCTTTTATGGTTTCCAGAGACATTTTTTACTAGCTGAAAAAACAAGTCCTCTGCATTCTGAGTGGCTGCTTTCTATCTTTCAACTGTAATCAAATTTGTTTGCAGGTAACACTTAAATCAGAAGGTGGAACATGGAAAGAGGAAGTATAGATACAAAGTGGGTAGGGAGAAGCAGGGAAATGTTATTAAGCTACTCACCTTGGTGTACTGGGTACAGTATTTTGATCTTCTCAAAACAGATGTTAACATACCTTTTCATGTATCTAAGCACCATAGCTGCTTCAGGAAAGTTCTGTATCAGAATTAGGATGAGGACATCCATGAAAGATTCACAGTCTTGAGAAGTAATCTCCAATATGAAAAGGAACCATGGACACCCAACTGACATGGCAGGGAAATTCGGTTCAATAGGATATAATTACAAACTTAGAACTGGCCAAGGGTTAGCAAAAAGTTCCACGTGCTCTTTAATGATCACAGCAGTTACATCGTTTTAGGTCTTAGAAAACCAGCATCTGCAGGACAGTGCCTTCCAACAGCATGCAGACAATAGTAGTCAGTATTCACCTAGAGGCAAGAGAGACTCCTATTCACTCTCCAGTACCATTTCGTGCAACTACTGCCATCCCAACTACCGAGAAGAACCAACTCTAATAAGGCCTGACAAGATTCCAATGCAAACTCCACAATGGAATGTTATTCAGGAGAGAAACTGACTACCTCCAACAGCCTGCCAGTTAGAATTTTCCTGGCATTCTACGCAGCTACGTAAATGGATGGGCAAACTAAGGGCCAGCTCCAGAACCACTAAACTCAATGGAGCAGGTTTGGACCCCAAGGTCGCTGATTAGTGAGAAGGAAATCAAGCACGATCTAGCTCTGTGGATAATTTACTTTCTGAATGGAAAATGTAAAAAAAAAAAATCTCATGTTCAACTATGAAATAACTTTTTTTTTTGAAGAACAGTTACCCTGCACAAGCAATTGTTCATATAGATCCTGATCGAAAGCCCACTGAAAATTTCCCTGGGATTTTAATGCAAGTTTTTAGTTTGTTTTCAGGTATGTTGCTTAGCTCTGTTTCATTCAGTAAAGTATGTGCTTTAGATCTGCATAAGCATAACTGGTACTTTTGCTATGAAGGAAATGAGCATAAAGATGCATGAAAGTAACAAGAAAACTGGTTTGCTAAAAGTGATCTCCATACAAAAAAAAAAAACTTTACTCAAACTCTTTTAATAAAAATCATTTTGTTAAAAATCAACATTGTTCTGATAAGATTTTTATACAGAAAATTAATCAAAAGTTACAAAAGCAATTGACATGACATAATAAATATAACTGGAATTAATATATATGGAAATAGTTGTACAGAATATCTTTAAAAACATTTAAAATGATTATTTCTGTGGCAGTTTAATTTAATATCTCGATTATAAAATTCTCTTTGTATTAAATGAACACATACTAATTATTTATTCCTGCACTAAACAAAATGTTTAAAAGGTGCTTTTTCATGGTAGGAGGTTCTAGGCATCTGAGCCTGGCCTTCTCCATCAGCCCGCTGAGCAAGTCACCAGACACTAGCAGATGTGCTCATCATCCATCACGGACCTTTTGTTTGGTTGGAGACATTCGTAATTAAATGTTGCTCTCTCCAAAATTATGTATGGCAGCTAGAATTGAAGATTAAAAATCAACCTGCCCTATGTATGCACAGCTGAGGACAACAGGCCAGATTCTGGCTCATGCTTACAGCGCTTTGTGTTACTGCCATGTCGCAAAAGAAGTGTGATTGAAGTTATTCTAAAAGGGGGGCAGGTCAGAGTTCCACTGGTATGAAGAATGCTGGGCAGGTGCTGAGATAGCATAGCTGGCTCTCCGATACGTCCTTCTGGCTCACCCTGGAAAGGGATGTACCAGGAGCATAGCTGAGGGAGACAGGATAACTAGAGCACACTGTGCTCCTGTGATCCCCAGGTAGGGATGTAAAAGATTAAACAGTTAATTGGTAAGCATTAGCCTTACCGGCATGCTTACTCGATAACTGGTTAACCAGAGGGTCCAGGTGGCGGACAGCCCATGGGAGCAGCCCTTGCCACCTGAGGCCTTGATGGAGCAGCCCCTGAAGCCTGCAGCCACAGCAAACTAGGGCCGAAGCAGCCCCAGCTACCCGCAGTGAGCCTGGGCCAGGTCAGAGCAGCCCCTGCTACATATGGCAAACTGAGGCCAGAGCAGTCCCCAGACGCCTGCGTCAAGGCTCCCCACAACGCCTGTGGTCATGGTGAGCCAGGGCGGAGCAGCCTGTTCACAGCCAATGGTTAACCAGTTAAATAGTTTAACTAGTGAACTATTTTAGGCAGTTTTTACATCCCTATCTCTAGGTAGTTTAACCATCACTTGGGGTTCTTAAAAAACAAGCTAAATTTACAGTAGCTCTGCAGCCAGCCTAGTCCCTCGTTGCCAAGAATATGAGAGAAGCATAAAGGTGGTTTAAGGCCATGTTGCCTCTCTCCCTCATCGGCTATGCTGAACACATGTCTGACACAGAGATCTATTGTAGCCTGATGTGTCTGGAACCAAAAAAGTACTTGAATGATAAGAAATTGTGTTAAGATTATAGATTTATGTGGAAAAAGCTGCTGTTCCTGAGATACTTATTTTCTATGTAGGGTCTTCTGTGAAACAATCACTCTACCATGAGTGCCTTTTACAGTCTCTTTTTCACCTATTGTTTTATTCACACCCTATTGTTCCCTGCTACTACTTGTTCCTTTTCCTAGAGATGAAATTATAAATGCCTTCCTCTAACACCACAAGGAGGCACTCCGAATGCATCACAGAAATTAGATGTCAATAGTCAAAGGGAGGCACTCAAAAGCAAGGGTAACATACTACTAGCTGCCTTCAGACATAGCACTAGTGGTTGCTCCCAAATGCAAGCTCTCCCATATAACAGCACATTGCACCATTAGCCAACGCCTGTGCTTATATTTCTATACATTTTACATTAAATAAAGCTCCCTGTGAACAGTACAGTACTATGATTTATGCATCACACTACAGAGTCCATTAGTAGAGTAGAAAAAAAACTTAAGGAAAAAAACAAAAACAAAGCCAAGTATACAACCTCACAAGATACTCATTATCTAAGATATTCCATTAGCAGTTCTCAACATTTATGATTTTCAAGAAATTATTTCCTGCCAAGTATGAATTTTTTTATAGGGAAACTAGATCAACAGCAGGAGTCTAGTCAGTAAGATAAAACAAGTATATACTACACTAGTGCATATGACACAGGTCTAAATCACATTGCTTGTAATCCTGACTAGAATGATTTAATTAGGATAATTAGGAAGAAGAGCAGGAGAGGCATCTCTAACTGAGAACTTCTGTGGGTTTCTTCACCATCAGTTCTCTAATAGGTAACAGGGACCATGAGGAACAACTCTAAATGATAAGGAACTTTATATTTAAGGCATTCAATATCTCATTTACAGCACATTTGTCCCAATATACCAGAACACCATCTCAGATTGTTAGCTCAGTTAACTGACACCATGCATTTACAGATTATAAAGCATCAATAATTTTCTGCCATCTCATACAAATATTTTGGTAGATTATATTTTTCAATGCACACTGTTCTTATCACAATTTAAAAAAACATTTGTATGACAGATTTTGCAATATCTCTGGAAATTATTTTAAAATAAATCACTCTATTAACTTCCCCCTAACTCATTATATAAATTCTCTGCAGATCATATGTTTTATTTTGAGTAGGGAGTCCAAACCCACTTCTACTAAAAAAAGTAGGACTATGGCATAGTTTCCCAGAACAGTATTTAGATATGCTATGTTATGCTAGTTTATATCAAAAAGGTTGATGGAGCCATGACTCACGGCCTGCAAAACTGTAGGCTGAGTTATCTTTCCTCTCCTCATTATCTCTATTATTTTTAGTCCAAATGGGAGAAAGAACAAACAAAACCCAGCAGCAATATATAGGACCATTGCACTAATTCAACTGAACCGGTTTTGAAGTATTTGAAAGCCAGTGGAATAATGGCAATGCACAGCATAGTGGGAGGCAAGAGTGTAGAAAGTATCATGGGACTCTTCCACCTCCACATGCAGATATAAATGAGAAAAATGATGAAAGTCAGGTTTGGCTCTAGAAAACGCAGGAAGAAGAGTTCCCCAACTACTTTTCCTCCCATCCAAATCCATGGAAGAGCATTAGTAGTAACCTTTTGGAATACTACCAATATGCTCTGGCAGTTTCACAGATTTGATACTGATATATACAGAGAATAGACTGGAATATGAAGAGAGTAGAAATAGTATCTCCTCCTGAATGAAGAAGTGAGCAAATACCTGTACTCAATTGCAATATATGGGTATCTGTTAGGAAATTCCCTCAAAATCATTGGCTGTGGTATGTTCAAAATAATCACCCCCACTCTATCTAAATTATCTTCATGGACTGTATTTGGAAAGATATATTTAAAAAAAAAAAATCTAACCGCACAAAGAGCCAGACTGTTAGAGTAGGTCAGACTGTTGCAGTATATATTCTATACATATATTTATTGAAATCATCCCTTCATAAGGATTTTTAACCTAAAACTTTTCAACTCTGTGTATAATAATACTGTATTAAAATATTTGGATAGAATTTATACACAAATATTATATAAAAGGTGATTATCACAGGATTACTTCTTCAATTTCATCTTCAAAAGAATCAACAGCCTTAACTGCTGGTCTGCTTCTTGTGTGCTGTAAATGGTGCCTATTTGGGTTAAAATTTCTTCCTTCACCAAAAAAACCATCATCTTTTACTTTAACTTTCTTGCTTTTATCTAGAGGAAGAGCACTGCTGGAATCAAAGTCTGCTTCCAAAGTACTTGTGTCACTGCTTTTAGATGGAAGGATGGTGTTGGCACTAGTTCCAAACAATTGTTCCATTAAATTAGATTTTTTCTCTTTCTTGAAATCTGTGTTTTCTTTACTATTTTCTTCTAAGACAAAACTTTTTTGATTAAGCCAACTTGGCCTTCCAGATCCTTTACCAAAGGAAGGTACGTAACTTCCAAATGTTAGATCACTATTTGAATCTGTGATTCTAACATTTTGCTGCGTCTGTACCTCTGCTTTTGTAATAGCATCATGGTTGTCATATCCTGGAAATCCATTCAACAATTTCTCTGTCTCTAAAAACTGGTAGGTTTTTTCATTTTTCTCTACGGAGTCAGATTTTGATGCTGTATCTGTGAGGTGTGCTTGTGAAGAAAGTTTCATACTAATAGTATTTTGAGTTTCTCTGTCGATTTCATGCATTTTAGCCAGCAGCATCTCTTTCTTTTGTCTCTCTTCTTTTAGTTTCTCAGTGCTGTGTATCTCATTTTCAGTTTTATGTATTTCTGACTCAATCCTTGTTGTTTCTTCGGCCAATAAAAAGTTGTTATCTTTTTTCCTTCTGTCAAATTCTTCTTTTTTCCACTCTGTATGGAATTTTTAAAAATAAGTTACTTGACTTTTTTTTAAAATCATATACAATATAGAACTCTTAAAATTCTTGCACCCAGCAGTAGTTTATTTTTTAAATAAGTATTTTTTTCATAAAAAACTTACTTACAATGGTACACAGGCTAAATCATCTATCCTGACTTAAAACACTACTGTCAATTTTGTAGTGTAGTTGGATTATTCATCTCTATTAGGAGTTTCATAGTCCTATATACATGAACTCTGTTTCCCAGGGTTACTGGATTAAAGAGATTCAAATGTATATAGGCTTGACTGTCAGCCTGAGTTAGAATTTTGAGTTTGACTTTGATATTAGTATAAGGTAAGAGTATGTGTGAACAAAGGACACAGATATTATGTGTGTTTATACTGACAAACCCATCTGGCCAGGCAGAAAAATGGGAACAGATAAGAACAGCCAAAGTGTTACAGGGTACGCTGGGAGTATAATATATAGGCACACACTGGAGAGCTGCTTGACTTCTGTTTCTCAAGTCACGGTCAAGCAACCTATTAGGAGGGGAAGCATAAAAAACATTAAAAGCCAAAGAAAAGCCTGGCCAGGGTCAAAACACCACCTCATTCCTTCTTCCTCCCCTGGGATAGAAAAGGAGTGGAAAATAAGGAATGAGGACAAAAGCAAGCTTCTAACAGTGTCAGGGCTGGGAAGGGAAGTATGAGGAAAAGGCTCTGCGACATCAGAATTGGGAATGGAACACTAGGAAAAGAGATTCTGCTGATGTGTAGAGCTATGGATTTGCTCACTTGGAACTAATCCCAATGAACATTACATTGCCTGCACTTTGCACATCTGTTGTTCTGCTTTCTGTCTGCATGACAAGAACTAGGAGAGGGCGTGAAGGGAAAGCCCTCCAACACCCTGTGTTTGAACAAACATGAACATAACATTATTGATTTTAATAACTGATTAATAGAGTGCTTTATCTTTTTCTGTGTCAACATTGCTGACTTCAAGACAATTCTGAAATATACTTTTTTGTGAACGGCTAAAGCAAAATCAACTGGACAACAAAATACAAAATAAGCAATACTTTAAAGGGTTTGTTTTTAAGCTCTCTTTGAAAGCACCTTTGCATAAGCTTTCTGTGCACCATCAAGTGAATGTAAGTGATTATTTGCAAATATAGTGCACATAACTTTTTACAGATATAAGTAGCTACACAAGGTATAATTGGGTGAATATCTGGCCCTTCCACATATGAACTGCATGTCCAATGGATGCAATAGTTTGTGCTCAAGTCACTGTCTAAAGTTGTATGCACATACAAAAAGACAATGTTCTGAATATTTACCCATTAAAAAGGAATTTTTTTGTCTGAATACAAAGTTTTAAGGTAGCTTCAGATTAGAACAAGAACAATCTGACACATGCATAGAATGGAGCGAGGTAGAAAAGGGATGGAACTTAGTGATGGCACTGACAACAATTTGAGTAACTTCCAGTACTTTATACCAAGCTTATGAAAACAAATTGCAACACTTATATAAAAATGGAAGAAAGGGCTAATACTAGAACTATATTATCCCAAGACAGTATAAGCCAATTCTCTGTTGGTGCAAACTTTTTCATGGGATAGTTTTTTCATCTCTGGTTTTCCCACAGTTGATATATGGCTTTGAACCCTTCCCTTGGGCAGCAACAGCAGGGCACAAGAAGGCTACTTTTCATCCCTTAATATTTTCTTTTCTGACCTTGTGCATGTTAAATCATTTAATCTCAGAGTTGGTCTTAGAGGTGGGTGAGCCAGGCGGTTGCCCAGGGCCACCATTTTCAAGGGGCTGCCGACAGAGCCAGCTTATGGGTGGGCCGCAACCACATTTCGGCCCAACCTCCCGAATTCTTCACCTCCCCCAGGTTTCCCTGGTTACTCCCCAACCTTCCCCACCCCCTTTTTTTTTTGCTTGACAAATTTTCTCCAGTGTGTTTTTTTTGGTTTTTCTTTTTGTTGTTGCTTGACAAATTTTTGTCCAGTATTTTTCTGAAACTATCTGGCAACCCTACGGGCAAGCTGGGTGGTTGCCCGGGGCCGTCAATTGGTTAGGACCGGCCCTATTTATTCTTTTAGTGGTTTTCTTCTTCCAGAATCAATTAGTTATTTTCAAGAGACACCTAGATTTTCTAGACTGGCAGTAGCCATATTTTTCTTACCATCACATAGTTTCTGTGCTTTCTCCTCTAAAATCTGCAGTTCTTGGTCACGTTTCAGTTTCTCCTCCCTCTCCCTATTCCGCTCATTCTTTAGATGCTCTGCTTGTTCTTTCCATGCTTTTTTCTGAGTTTCTTGTTCCTGATGTAAATTGATAAAAGAAAGCGTATGATAGAAAATTTCTGCAACAGTTTTGCTTATTGTTAAATACAATGTCTTCCAAATTGGAATGATATTATGGACTTCAATGAAGCCACTACAGTTTACCTCAGCTGAGAAAATGGCCCTAAAACTCTTATTAAACCTAACAGTTTTAAGCACTTGAGACAAAATTAATAAACCATCAGCTTGATTTTGTATGGCATCTTCAATAAAAATTGTAATTAAGTTTATTTTTTCTGCATAGCACCTAGCACAATGAAGTTCTGATCTATAAATAGGGTTCCTAGACATTTTGGGATTAAATTTTATATCAACAGTTATAGCCAGGGCGCAACAAATTAGTCAATCTACTCACCCGGGGCAAGTAAGTTTTAAGCCAGCACGGCGCCGCAGCATGATCCGTGCATGTGCAGCGGTCTGTGCATGTGCAGCGGTCTGTGCATGTGCAGCATGGCAAACCGCGCGGCTGGCGAGCGGGGCTCACTGCTGCTTGTCAAGCCCTGGCTATATCGATATAGAGATACACACACACACACACACACACACACACACATACAGGTTGAACCTCTCTAATCTAGCACTCTGTGGTTCGGCAACATCCATGGTCCAGCATGATTTTAGTTAACCAGACGCTCACTTACCATGATTGTGGCCAAGTTTCTCGTGACCCCACAAAGTTTCTTTATAGCCACCAGTCTTGGCTCTCAGGGTTCTATGCTATTATTTAGCTCTAGTTTACTGCTAAATGTATTCAAAAAGCTCAATAAGCAGTGGAAGTTTTGGTAATGCTGTTACACAGTATTGACCAGCAAATATCTGTCCAGCACATTCTTTAATATGGCACATCAGGTCCCAAGGGTACTGGGCTAGAGAGGTTCAACCTTTACTACTACAACAATAACAGAACTGAATTGGGCCCTCAATTGAATAGTAGTCCTTCCACTGACTTCAATGGACATTGGATCAGTTTCTAAATTGACTATATAACAAACACACCATCAACTTAAAAAAACCAATATGAAACAAAACAAAAAACCCTACCCCCCAAAAAAAATTCCAACACCACACAACCTACGTGAGTGAAGTGGTACAATGAAGGTAAGACTGCATTATTTAACAATATGAAACAAACACACCAATCACTAAGAAAAAACAAATAAAGAGCAATTATGAGCATTAACCAGGGGGAAAAATGTTTTCAACCAAGATATGAAACAAGACTACCAGCTGATGAGGCCGAATTTAGCAGCAAGGAACATTTTAGTGGCTTTCAAGTGCAGAAGCCTGGTTCTAGTAAGGTTAAGAGAACATGTTTTTGGTCTGAAAACAAATCCAACACATATCTTTCCCCTCAACAAACCAGTAAGCTGGCAATATGACAGAAGATCCCATTCAACTTGGATATGCACATTACCAAAAATAACTTCAATGTACAATGGTGGGTCCTAAATTAGCAGATATGTCAGAAAGGAGGTTAGCCTGAATTCAGAATCCTGGATTCAAGCATGCATTACCCCCTGGCTCTAAAACTAAATTTGTATTTTCAACTGTTCCTCCTTATTGAATGGGATAGATCTATAGCCAGGGTCTGAACATGCTCACACTTGGAGTTTGGAAGAATTAAAAAAACAGATTTTAAAAAAACAGATTTAAATAATTTAGCACATGCTTATTTTTACAGGGAATACTCTCAGCAGTCATTTTGGAGAGCTCAATGAAGGTGGCTGTCCAATGGCTACAAACAGTTAAAAAAAACAGAACAATTAAATCGACTATGGAAATAAATAATTATGCTACAATAATGTTGTCTCAATATTTTCACATTCACTGCTTTTCAAAACAAGAACACTTTGGTACAGAAGAAGTAGTTACTCACCATGTGCAGCAACATTGGTTCTTCGAGATGTGTGTCCCTGTGGGTGCTCTACTCAGGTCTCGGTGCATGCCTGTGCTGGGGATCAGAGATTTTTGGTAGCAGTGCCCCTCGCGCCGTGCCTGCACACACAACAGCCCCTCCCCGCAGGAGCCTGTGGAATGCGCACGCGGCATGAGTCCCGTCTGTTCCTTGTCTACCTGAAGTCCCTGTAGACTCCAAGCAGAGGGGAGGTTGGAAGGGTAGTGGAGCACCCACAGGGACACACATCTAGAAGAACCAACATTACTGTACAAGGTGAGTAACTTCTTCTTCATTGTGTGGTGTCCCTGTGGGTGCTCCACTCAGGTGACTCCATAACAGTACCTGCCCAATGGAGGTGGGCACTGGAATCTTTCTAAGTGGAAGGAGGAGGACTGCATCTGCTAGACATGTGAAAGGTATTGGCCCCTTGTGTAGGGCATAGTGTTGAGTGAAAGTATGCTGTGAGGACCATGTGGCTGCTCTACAAATGTCTGCCAAAGGTACATTGTTCAGGAAGGCCATTGTAGTGGCCATCGCATGTATGGAATGAGCCCTGATGGGCTGTGGTGCCAGTCTGCCTCTAAGTTCATAAAGGGTATGTATGCAGCCTGCAATCCACTTGGATAGGCGCTGTGCGGAAACTGCTGTTCCTGTGCATGGTCTTGACCATGCAACAAAGAGCCTGTCTGATTTCCTGGTTGCTCTAATTCTATCAAGGTAGAATGCAATTGCCCTCCTTGCATATAGCATATGTAATATAGCCTCCTTGGGGGAAGCAGGAGGTTTAGGGAAATAGGCAGGTAAGTAAATGGGTTCATTTTGGAAGCTGGATATAACCTTAAGGAGGAACTTGGGGTGAGGTCTAAGTATGACTTTATCGCTGGTAAATGTAGTGAAAGGAGGGTCTGCCACGAAGGCTGTGATTTCTCCTACCCTTCTTGCCACTATGAATGCCACCTGCACAGACAGCTATTGTGGTGGCATAGTGGCTAATGGCTCAAAGGGTGGCCTGATGAGCAGGTCAGGGACCAAATTCAAGTCCCACGGTGTCACCAGGGCGGAGGCTCGGATGCATTTTCTGTAACTCTGTAAGAAAACACTTCACGATGGGATGTGTGAAGAGAGGGAAACTGTCTATTGGATCATGGAAGGCCGTGATCGCTGCCAGGTGGACCCGGACGGAGCTGACAGAGAGGCTCATATTGCTAAGGTCCATGAGGCAGTTGAGTAAAGTAGGCATGGGAACTGTGGGGGGATGCAATTTACGCATCATGCACCATTATTGAAAAATGCATCCACTTGTTTTGATAGGCACTTCTCATGGGGGGACACCAACTGTTTAGAAGAACTTGTTTGACCCTGTCCGAACAGGTGAGTTCTTCATTCTGGAACCATGGAGAAACCACGCCGTGAGTTTCATGGTTTTGCCATGGTGCTATGTGAGGAGATTCGGCACCACCAGGAAAAGGATAGGTTAATCTATTGACAGGTAATGTAGATAAGGGAACCACGGCTGTCTTGGCCAGGCTGGGGCTATTAAGATTACTGTGGCCAGATCTGATCGGATCTTGCTGATCACTCTGATGATAAGTGGGATTGGTGGAAAGGCATAAAGTAGGGGAGCTGTCCAGCGGATGGTAAAGGCGTTCCCTTCTGAGCTATTGATAAACCCTCCTTAATGATGGATTGGAGGTGAAGTCGCTTGTTTTCAGGGAGGTCCTGTAGCAAGTCTTGTAATCTGGCCGAATTGGCATGATCGTAGTTAGCCAACAATGCTGTATAATTAAGATATACGGCCCTGAAGAGTGGCCAAAGAGTACACTTTGCGGCCCAAGGTGTCTAGCCATTTGTGTTCTGTGTCACGGGGCATAGATTTAAATTGTGTTTCACAGAGTCACCACCAGCGAATTTGGCTGAAGGTGGGCAAATGGAAAGTCCATGTCCTTTGCAGGGACGAAATATTTTCTGTCTGCTATGCAGTTTGTGAGCGGAACAAAGTCTGGATTTTACCACAAAGCATCTGAAGGTTCAAGGATAGCTTCGTTGATGGGTAAAGCTATCTTCAAGGATGCTGAGGGCTGTAATATGGTGAGTAATTTGTATTGTTTGTCCTGCATCTCTTGTAATGTAATGTCCTATGGTTGTGCTACCTGTTTGAAAAGTTCCTGAAAATGTTTCAGGTCATTTGTCGTCGGAGAAAGCGAGATCTGGAATACTGCTTCCTCCTGCCTGGAGGGACTCTCTGAATCTGACTGAAGTAAGTTGTCATGCTCACTGGAACCCGGTGGAGAAATTACTGAGGGCGGGCGAGCAGGTGAGGAGCATGCAGAGGTTGTGGATGAACGCCTAGAGGTGCAGAATTGCTGGGATGTAGAAGCTGTGTACCTCGAATGGGAGGACCGCTGTCAGTACTCTTACCCTGTATCCCAGGGGCTCCACTGAGGTGGGAGCTGACCTGTATGAATGCCAGGAAGTTAGCAAAGGAGAAGGAGAGGAGTGGCCTAATGAGAGGCTGCTCCTATGCCTGCTACCATAATCAGATATTGGGGATAGCAGTGTAGGCGAGTGGGGGCCACTCTGTGAAGTGTTAGTGTGCCCCTGTGCCATGGAGCGTGGTGAGCCAGTTACTCCTCTTGAATCAGACTGAGGAGAGTTTTGCAGGTGCCGCATTTTGCGCAGCACTTTCTTGTGCTGAGGTGC